GTTACTAGGAAATTACGAGGAAAATGGTTACTAGGAAATTACGAGGAAAGTGGTTACTACGACTTTACGAGGAAAAAGGCTTTACGATGAACGTGTTTCGACGAAACGCGTTTCCTCGTAAGTTCCTAGTAAAAGGCCATTTACTAGGAACTAACGAGGAAAACCTGCCCTAGTAATGGACGAGTTTTCTTGTAGTGATTATGTTACTTTTAAGCTACACATCTCAAAATATCATCATTAATCACATCACCTATCGCAATATTTGTTCGACAAACAAAATCCCACATTGCAACGTATATGTATCCAAATAATATGCTATAAACAGTGATATTGCTCCAAAGAAGGTAGAAGTGGAAGCCTACTGAAATTGGTCCAGCTAATATAGAAGTTTAACCCAATCACATTTTAGACCACTATAAATTTCTTTAATAGCATCAAAATCGTGGTTACAGTTACTCTTTTCAGAATTCGTGAAAAAGACCGTGTATGTGTAGATTTTCAGATTAGTCAAATTTCAAATAAATAGAAAACGCCTACAATAATAATACATAGTGTGCAAGGACCCTTGTGTGATGTACAGATAATATAAGAGATAATTTCAATACAGTTCAAGAAAATGTGTTTACCTTCACGCTACAACTACTGAAGATAAGTTGTGTCGGTATCTTTAGATGTGAAATGTAAAGAAAGTGGTGTCGGTATCTTCGAAGTTATTGCAAATTAGCATTGTTAATTCATCTCTAAAGTTACAACGTGATCCTTACTTTCAGATGACATTCATGTCTTCGGAACCTTAAAAATTACACACAACATTTAATCATTTAAATATACACAAAAAACTCAGGTGTCGTTATCAATACATTCTAGGAATACATTAGTTATAATTATAGTAGTTGCCCAAAAAAAAGTTATAACTATAGTAACTTTTATTATATCATTTATTTTGGTCTGCGAAACATTTTTTTTTGCTAGATGGCCATCGAATTACTTGGATGATAATATTAAAAGTAAATTTTGGCTTTTATACAATTAATCAAGCTGTAAGAAAGATATAATAGCAATGAATTTTAAACTGATCTATAGTTTTACTAATGGTACAAAGTAACAAACATTGCAAGAAGTAGATAACTATTAATTAAACTATAGCAATGAATTAAAACTATATATAGTTTAGTTATGGTGCAAACATTGCAGTATGGCAATTTCAGTAGTAGATAATATCTGACATCAAATGTCTATATAGAGATGATTATAGCAATTAAGTAAAAGAAAATGCAACGACCCTGTTCATATTCGAACAATTCATTTCTTTCTTTTTATATGGTTGGCGAGGCATATTTATTTGGTTATATGCTTCAAAATCATAAAAAATCCAAGAAAATCCCTTTATCTTTCAAGGAGATAAAATACATAAGATAAAAGTTTAGCTATGAAATAAAAGTTGATACATTTTTAGCAATAAATGAAAGAATATAATGTAATGAATATTCTTACTTGATGTAACTACGACACCTACTTTACTTGTAAATAAACTCAATGGAAATCCTTATCTTTCAAGTAGTCAAAATACATAAGATAGAACTTTAGTGAAATATAATTTATACATTTTTAGTAATAGATGGATGAATATAAATATAATGAAATGTTGGTCTTGATGTAATTACAGCAACTTTACGTGTAAGACATTCACAGTTTCGCTTTCGCACACACATCAGCCTCCTATATAAACCCAAACACATACCTGAGCAACCAAAAACAAAACCACTGAATAGTTCTTTAGAAACGCAATGGCGTTTGCGGTTTCAAAGCGAAACGCAATGGCGTTTGCAGTGACGCTACTATTAGTTTCCGTTCCATTGTCTTCGTCCACACTACAACAAGATTTCATGCAGTGCCTCGTCGAGAACTCCGACATAGCGTTCCCTATAACGGCGGCGTTTTACTCACCCGACCAAAACGCGACTTTGTTTAAAGAGGAGCTGGAGTCAACGGCTCAAAATCTCCGTTACTTGACGCCGTCAAACCCGAAGCCTGTGTTCATATTCGAGCCTATGTACGAGACACACGTACAAGCAGCCGTCGTGTGTGCCAAGAAACTCCAGCTTCACATGCGGCTACGTAGTGGCGGGCATGACTACGAGGGGCTCTCCTTCGTTGCTGAGAACGAAACGCCGTTTGTGGTCGTTGATCTATCGAAGCTTAGACAGATCGACGTAGATGTGGACAGTAACAGCGCGTGGGCTCACGCAGGTGCCACTGTCGGAGAGGTTTATTACAGGTAACGCTTACGCATGTATTTGTACTATATATTGGACGACCCATGCATGAATTTTCTAAGCTAGTTTTTTTAAAAGGAGGAAAAACTAAAGCATCATACCAAATAAATTACTTTGCTTTTAAATAACCAAAACGAGACCAAAATAATTTAAATGGAGTTGGCTCAATATACACCAAATATACATGGATTCCATCAGAAACTATTGGCAAAAATAAGGTGTTTTGTTTTGTCAGAATTTTTTGACGAAAAAACAATAACATAATCTTAGTTAAGAAAGAAACAATATCTTAATATTTATTATAAAACTATTAAAATTCCGTTAGAAAATTTTGATGAAAAAATACAATTAAAAATCCTGTTGATATTTCATCAGTTTTTGTAGTGATGATGTAGATTGCTTTTTATTTTATTTTGTTTTTACCGAACGTTGATCAACTTAACTTTTATATTTATATGCTACTTTGTTTAAAATCCATTGTAATCATGTGATCAACTTCAAGTTTTATCAGCTACTTCTTTTAAAACCCATGAATGATTTATCCCTCTAGATGCGATTTGTCACCTAATTTATTGCCGGTTATGTTAAAGTATCGCTTTCATGTTCAGATAAAAAATATATGAATTTTCAACTCGTCGATTTGTTCATTTTTCATTGTCAGAGACTAGGCCTGTTCAATCTGGTGTTCGGTCCGGTTTCGGTTCGTTTTTTTTTGTTTTCGGTTATTCGGTTTATAAAAATTAATTACCATATTGGAACCATATTTAATTTGGTTTGGTTCGGTATTTATACTACCGGTTTTCGGTTTATTCGGTTTATACCAAATAACATTATTATTTGATTTGGTTTCATATTATATGAATTTTTTTTTAAAAAACATATTCTCAAAACTATCATTTATTTAAATAATCATAGGTGTTCATAAATATAAAAATGTGAAATTACAACAAACAAAACGACCAACGATTCAGTTTTGTACAGCTTTTCTTATTTTCTATTTGTTCTTCCAAATAAATTATATGGTACAATCTAATTTTACAATTTCTTACAACATGCAAAATAAAATCAAATTTAGATAATAGTTGAAGAAAATAGAATAAAATTATTAAGATATATCTTCACAAGGAATAAGATATATCTTCACAAGGAATAAAAAAGTAAAAAAAAAAAGACTATTCCAAGAAAATAAATGGTTATATAATATATATATTTATATATTTTTTCTTTGATCGGTTTTGTTCGGTTTATTCGGTTTAATCGGTTATAAACCTAACCATATCTAAATCCTACGGTTTTTTAAAATCATATCCATTCGGTTTATATGGTATATACCAAATCCAAACCATACTGTCTATTTCGGTTCGGTATTACCATATTGAACAGCCCTATCAGAAACCATAAAGTTACCATAACCGGCTTTCTTTTATTCAACCAATTGATAAAACCAAACCAAAGTAATAACAAACCGAATACGGTTGAGCTCTGGTTAATAATCCGTTAATTAACCTTTTTTTACTTCTCGCGCGGTTTAATTAATTAGGATCCAAGAAAAAAGCCAAACACATGGTTTCCCGGCGGGTTTATGCACCAGCCTTGGCATCGGCGGCCACTTAGTCGGCGGAGCATACGGTTCCATGATGCGGAAGTTCGGTCTCGGCGCCGACAACGTCCTCGACGCGAGAATCATCGACGCAAACGGCAAGATCCTTGATCGTGCTGCGATGGGAGAGGACGTCTTTTGGGCGATTCGCGGCGGTGGCGGCGGAAGCTTCGGAGTCATCCTCGCCTGGAAAATCAAGCTTGTTCCCGTTCCGGCGACCGTGACTGTATTCACAGTCACGAAGACGCTTGAGCAAGACGGTACCAAGGTTTTGTATAAATGGCAACAAGTCGCGGACAAGCTTGACGAAGATTTATTCATTCGCGTGATTATTCAGACAGCGAGCAAAACTACCAAACCTGGAAACCGAACCATCTCGACTTCGTACCAAGGCCAGTTTCTCGGTGACTCAAACCGGCTTATCCAGGTATTATGGAGTTTAAATTTAAAATACATAAAGTTTAGGGGTCAAAAGGTCAAACCTGGAAAGTATGTTTTAACTCTTTTTGGCGGGTAAACTTTAATATAATTTGATAAAATCGAACCAATTTTAACAAGCGATGGGGTACATTCGAATAATATAAAGTTTAAGGGCCTAAATTTAAAACCTCGAAAGTATGTTTTGTATCTTTTTGGCTTCTTAACTTTTAAACTTGACAAATTCAACCCTGTGTTTATTAAACAGGTGATGCAGAAGAGTTTCCCTGAGCTAGGACTAACCAAGAAGGACTGCATGGAAACGAGCTGGATCAGATCAGTAATGTACATTGCTGGATTCCCAAACAGCGCAGCACCAGAGGCATTACTCGACGGAAAATCACTCTTCAAGAGCTACTTCAAGGCCAAGTCAGACTTTGTGGAAGAGCCCATACCTGTAGAAGGCTTAGAAGGACTATGGAAGAAGCTTCTACAAGAGGATTCGCCGCTTACTATATGGAACCCTTACGGAGGCATGATGTCGAGGATTCCAGAGTCAGAGACACCGTTTCCTCACAGGAAAGGGACCTTGTTCAAGATTCAGTGGCTATCTTCTTGGTCAGATGGGAAGGCGGGTGAAGCGAGGCATATGAAGTGGATGAGGGAGATGTATAGTTACATGGAGAAGTATGTGTCGAAGAACCCGAGACGTGCGTATGTGAATTACAGGGATCTTGATTTGGGGGTGAACGAGGAAGAGAGTGATGCTAGGGAGTGGGGGAGTAAGTATTTCAAAGGGAATTTTGAGAGGTTGGTGAAGATTAAGGGTGAGTTCGATCCTGAGAATTTCTTCAGGCATGAACAGAGTATTCCGACAAAGATTGGTTGATGGGTTGGACAGGTCGTTATCTGTAATGGGTTTTCATATTTTATAAAGTTTTAAAATCTATACAAGTGATACCTCGTTGGGTTTTGTCATAGGAAGACTTTTAGATTGTGTTGTCTTGAATCTTGACATAACCAATCTTTGCATGTGGTTAGAAGAATACAAAAGTATAAACATTGGAACCTCAATGTAAGCTTCATTAATATCTCCTTCCTTGAACACAAAAAAAACATCAGTCAACGGAGAAGAATCAACCCAAAATTGTACTGCTTTTGATGACTTTTTCAACTGAGGAATCATCTAACAACAGAAGTTTGTAAGAACTCGGTTGCGAAAACTCGCTGTTCGTCGCTCAATAGAGAGAACCACTTGGTGACTATATTGGCTGGAACAGATAAGCTTTGGTGGCCACAATCCGGAACCTTGGTGGTTTCGCCTTGAAAGACTATTGCGAGATCCAGCTGAAGCGTCTTCAAGAGGGAGCTCACAGTTGCTATCTGGACTGCAAAGCCAGCTTCTAGTGTCGTCTCACATTGCAGAAATGATGATAGTTTCTCTCTCAAGTTTGATATTCCTTCATTTTCATAGCCACCAGCATCCACTCCAATACTGTAAAATCCAAAACAAAAAGAGAGAATTGGATATTATTACCTCATTTTTATTCTTCTGAATAAAGAGTCAAACTATTGACCAAAAAAAAATCTTACCTGCTAAGCTGCCCAAGAAGAGAGACTATTGCAACAGAAACGTTCATCGGCAATGGCATTCCCAGCATCTTAAGCAGTGGAGAAACAATGTTTGCACTAGTCCAATCCCATGCCTGCATATATATATATAAGATCAAATTGGTACAACAGAGAACATAAATTAACAAAACTAAGTGAAGGATGTAAATGCTCTAGAAAAGTTTTTAACTACATACCGTGTAACAAGCAATAAGCTCCATCAATGACAGAATGTCGCATAAAGTAACACTTTGATCACTGGCCAATACGCACTGGAAATCTTTGTGTGCCGGCCTAAACTCAATCAAGCTCTGATGCACAGTATTAGACTGAGTGAACTCCTGAATAGTTTCCATGAGCATAGATGCAATAGACTCTAGCGAGGATGACTGGTCTGAGAACGGACACTTGTTATTGCCTGGGTGCAACTTAGCATCTCCCTCCACTGTACCAAAATGTCTGTTCTCTAGAAACATCACAATGGATTTCAGCACTGCAATTGATATGCCATGATCACTAGAAGACATCATTTTCTCTCCAGCAATGTAAGCAAAAACGTGAAGAATGGTCAGTGGCACTGAGGACTTCTCATGACTGTGTTTGTGCAGCATTTCAAATGAAGCTTCACGGATAAGTCCAACACGGTCCACTACAGTACATATTGCCGCCAAAATAGCCATTCCAGCCACCAACTGATCACTTAGAGCAACTCCGCTGAAGAGAGCTACATTTTCTCCATTCAGGGTGACAGGGATGCTTAGATCAGATTCAGTTGTTTCTGAGGATATAACAGAATACAATACCCTCTGCCCGAAAAGGAGGTCCTGAAGAAGGCTAAAGAGTTCCTCCAAAAACCCAGATAGAATACCTCCAGCTTCAGTATCAGCCATAACTACACAATACAATTCAAGTTCAGTTAGTAGAATGAAATATTCGGTTTTGAGAAGAAAAGAAGAGAAGATGGATTCGGACATACCATGAGATATATGCTTCGAGAAAGAACCCAAGCAGGAGCAACAATCATCATCCAGAGTGTTCCCGATTTTTAACGAGGAAACCATAGAGAAGTTATGCAGCAGCAAGGAGAGGAACACACATGCCCTTTCCCTGAGAAAAAAACAAGGTATATATTAGCATCCAGACACTAGTTTATTGACGAGTTGAAATATATCAACATTATGAATTGAAAACGCATCAGAAAGGATAACAACATACCGTGGTAAAAGGTTTTCTTCCATTTTCAAAGAGAACAAAATCGAGGGAACTGCCCACTGTGCTGTAACAACTGACGGGCATCGCTGAACACAACTGTTTGCAGCATGGAGAATTTTGATGATACTATTCTGGTCTTCAATATTTGAAAACGCAACAAAGTGTTTAAGAATATGACCATGCAACGTCGTTGACTCAGGTGGCATTTTGGCGGTTAGTGAAGCATTCGGAGTGCTGAAACTAGGAGCTTCACTAGAGTTTACGGTCTCACATAAATCCACGCTAGTACAAGCAACCAAGTCAAAAGCCACAGCAGGATTTTTGTCCTCAGTCATGATCTCATCACCCAAAAAGTCTGTTTGCGGAAGATCAGGGGACAGAAGATTTTCTCTTGCCATCTGGTAATAACTTTCTTCTTCCGGATTATCTAACTCCAGCAACTTCATATAATCTATAGCAGCAAGGTCTTCCGGAAATAATGTTGCTGCAGCATGTTCTTTAGCAGTAGAGAGGCAAATAGTTTTCTCAGCCTCATGTATACTTCCAGCTTTATTACCTTGCGTCTGCATTATTGTCTTCTTCTCACAAGAAACCAAAGTTCCTTTCTCTCTTAAAGGCCTATACCCAGTTTCTACTACCTTAGACTGCAAGGCACCCGCCTGCTCTCTAATCTGCAGATTTTTCTTTTTATCATCAGATGACAGATGCTTACGAGACACTATTGCCTCTGACAATCTTTTTCTTTTTCGAGAGTGCTCATTAACTACCTCATGCCTATCTTTTTGACCGCTTTGAACACAGTTTTCAGCCACCAAACAAAGATTTCCATTTTTCCTTGTATCGACTTTCTGAAACATACTTGGTTTTGTTGGTTGGATATTCGGCTTATCTTTTGCTATTTCTGCTGAAGTAGTCAAAGCGAACTGCTCTCTTCCCTGTGAGGCCAGTAACTGCCCCTTAGAAAAAGATGTTGCGCTGGAAATTACACCAGAAGTCTGTAACTCTCTAGACCCTCCAGTAGGAGACCCCAATTGAGAAATAGGACCTGAGACAGACTCACTCACGCCCTGTCCAGCTTTAGCGATTAACTGGGTAGAAAACTTGCAAGCTTGGTCCTGAGAACCAGGTTTGGCTCCCACATGGCATCTTGCGCCAGAATTCTTTTCACCATTACGGTTCTTCGGAGGTTTCATGCGGCCTTCCACCTACAAAGCAATAGAACGAAACATAAGTAGAGTAGTAAGGAATTAAAATGATCCAAAGTATAAAGGCAATATATGTTGTTTTTGATCTACCTATAGTAAGATTCAATGACACTAACAACTTCAAAAGACTAGAACCAAAGTGTTCATACTCAGATAACTTCAACTGACTATTTCAGCTAAACTGAGAATGTTTAAGCCACAATCATGAACCTAGGATACTCACTTAAAACGAGGTAAACAGAAAAAACAGGATTCTTTTTAATTTACCATGTCATTCAGATAGATCCATCATGTAGGCTAATGTCTGAAACCCGGTAGCAAAGAAAGTATCAAATGTCAAATCATCAAGCAGAATATTAAATTAGGATGGGAAGGATAGAGTAAGAAGTTTATGGCATAAACAAACCTTTGCAAGAGCAGCTGTACCTTCAACGTCTCTTGAAAAATACTCACCCAGACGATTCATACGATTTGTAAAACCACCGAACTCAAGTTTTAAACGACTGAACTCTTCTGCCTGAAACTCCCTTCGATATTTTTCAAACTCAGCCACTTCATTGGAGTGCTTTTCACGTTTCTTGGCAAACTTCAGCTCCTTTTTCAAAAGCCTCATTTTAGCCTTTTCCAGATCTCTGGCTTCATGAGGAGAAACAGTGCGATTCGAGTTCCGAGATAGAGAAAGCTCATCCACCTGTTTTTTCAAACCCTCAGTCACTAATTGTGACTCCTGCAACTGCCGAGTCAAATCATCAACACGAGATTTCCATTCCATGGCTTTTTTCTTATTCATCTCAAGGAGCCTCATCTTCTCGTCCAGTTTTGCTGAGTTTTCATCAAACTTTACTTTGCTCCTAGCGCTCTGCAATTCAGCTTCTTTCTTGAGCTCTTCATTTCTAACTCTAATGATTTCAAACTTCTTAGACAAACCTTCTGCCAGTTTCATCTGTTCCCTAGCTTTGGCACTCTCCATATCTGCACGTTTTTTCTCTCTCAGTGTCTTTTGTTTTTCAGACTCAAGCTGCTTTTTCACAGTCTCAAGATTGGATGTCAAAGCAAGCA